GGAATATTGCTTTTTTAATGAAGTGGTTAATGTGCTTAATTTCCTGGGGACAGTCCCTGAGGTTTTTCCCTTTGTCCTGATTAAGGAGTCCTCTTCGAATGGTTCAGAATGTGGAGGAAAGAGTCCCAGGCAGTCATTCCTTCAGCTTCACTGGTAACGTTTATTGGGGAGGGGGAGAAATGAAGGCTTTTATTTTTAAGCCCCACTCTGGTGAGTTTAGTATGAACTTTGGACTGTGGCTCCCAAATGACACTTTCTGTGGCCCTGAAGCCTAATCCTGTTGGCTTCTTCCTTTAAAAATCGCTGTAATTCTGGGGGTTGAGGGTGAGGCACAGTGGTATAGTGTGTGCTGAGCATGCATGAGGCCCTGGATTCAATCCACACACACACACAAAATTGTTATAATTCTGTATTGATAAGCTCTAAATGCCCTGTTTTGTTCAAACCAAAATAGGTTGCATTGGTCAATGTCATTCACATATTTATAAATAGGCAAGCATGACCCAATAAGCAATTTATGTAAATGTTGGGCAAAACTGAGTCCACTCAAGTTAAATGTGAGAGGCTGGTGGCTATGCATCTCAAACTAGTGCCTTTGAACTGTAACTGTGTATACATAGTTACCCTGCAAGCTTAATTTTAGCTAGAAGAACTATCAGAAATGTTAGCAGTCTGTTTTTGGATTTCTTCTGCTCTTTCTGCTAAATACAGACTTTAGAAGTACAGAATCTTTAGTTTTATATGTTTCTTTAAACACAACTACAACTATTTTATCACTGAATATTCATCTAAATGTGAATTTTTAAGCTTTTGCAGCAACAATTATTCTCAAATTGATTGGTTTATCTTGAAATAACATATCTACAAATACTCTTTATTTGTGAGCTATAGGTAAACAGTGAGTGTGTGTGTGCATGTGTGTGTGATGTGTGGGGAGAGAGAGAGAGAGAGAGAGAGAGAGAGAGAGAGAATAGATTTCAGCTGGATGTTTCTATGTTATTTCTTTTTACTGTATTATTGTCACTATAAAAAGTAATCTTTAGAAATTCCATACTTGAAAAAAAAAGCCTTTGCTCAAATACTTGAAGCCTCATGAACAAAAGTAACAAGAACATGTTAATGAATATCTTTTTGTTAATCATGTATTGTAATTTATGCTTTATCTTCAGGACTCTTCCATTTTTAAAACAAGTAGGACAGTTTTAACAAATATGCCTCACACCATAATGACGATTGGGGAATAATTCTCTATTTCACATTCAGTACTGTAGCTAGGAAGTGCAGTGATGGGAACAAACAGTTGCTACTACATTTACCATCTGACCATGTGGTGTGACATACATCTGCTGGAGAGGACAGCCATTCCATTACCATAACAAACAATAAGGGCTATGTTACTTTTTGCAGTGTTGGGGATCAAACCCATGGCCTGCAGCACATTAGGGAAGTGCTCTACCACAAAATTACACTCATTTCTCCAGGCATAGTCTTAAGACCGGTGGATAGTCACCACTTAGATAGCGTCTTTCAATTTATCCAGCTATTACTGTGTAGCATATACACACATAATATATGTGTATACATACACATATATGCAAATACATGCATATATATACACACACATATGTATATATATAATAGGTAGATAGATATATCCCTCATTTTGAAACTAAAAACTCAAAAGATGTGTGCAATTAGGGTTCTGCCACACAGCAGTGCACAGTCTGGCAGGGGAGGTGGTCATGGAGGCAAATGATTATTAGATGATGTCATAAGTGTAACAAGGATATACAAGGTGTCATAAAAGCGCAGAAGGAGAAATGTGCCTACCTGCTGGAATCCAGGGATGAGTCAGGAGACAATCACAGAGAAGACCATCTTTGAGTTGATCACTGAGGTCTTGGTAGGAAATGAATTGTGATGGTTAAGATCATAGACTATAGTCAGATTGCCTGGATTTAAATCCCAGCTCTACTGCTACTTGCTGTGGAACCTTAGGCATGGTATTTAATCTCTCTGTGCTTCAGTTTTGTCCTCTATAAAATGGGCATAATAACTGGGCATAGTTCAGAGAGTTGGAGTGAGGGCTGCATGAAGGTCGTGGGCTTAGAAAGTCCTCAGTCAAGGTGAGCTAGTATGCCAGGGATAGCAGAATGAGAAAGCAAGGAGGCATGAAGTGTGGCAGGCTTAGCTTGCTAAAACTGAAACATGTGCTCTGATCATGAGGAGAGTGGTAGGCGATGGGGAGGGCAGTGTGGACAGATAAAAGGGAGAGAACCTTCTATGTCACACTGAAGAAGCTCATGCTAAGGCAGACCTTGGGGAATTTTAAAGAAATTCAGATTTGCATTATAGAAAGAGAACTCTGGCACAGTGTAGAGTAGAGGTCAGATGATTAATGAAGGGGCTACTGATAGCTGGGTGTGGTGGGGCACATCTGTTACCCCAACACCCAGGTGCGGAGGTAGGGTGATCATGAACTGGAGGCCAGCTTGGGGCAATATAGAGATACCCTTTCTTAAAAAAAAAAAAGGCTACTGATAAAGATGAGGTGAGATGAAGTCTTGCTTCAGATGAAAGTAGGGTGCAGATTTGAAAGTTATTCAGGTGATAAAACTGATGATACTTAATAACAGCTTAGTTAAGGGAGAATAGGTAAAAAGAATTGTGGATGATTCTGATTTTTAGTTTGTATGATTTGGTGAACAGACAAGAGGAAAAGAGAGTTTGGAATAAGATTTTGGATTTGTTAAACTTGAGGGACCTATGGGATGACCAGAATTAGTGTCTCCACCTACCACTCAGGAGCTGGAAGTCAAGATTTCAGCTTCTTCGGATTTAGACAGTGCTTGCCACTGTGGGAATGTCAGCATCACACAGGTTGTATACAGGAATTGATTCAGGCATGGTTCTGGAAAGCCCAACATTTAAGAGCCAAGGAGAGCCTATCCAGCAAAGGAAGAGTGGTCACAGAGGAAAGAGGAGAAGAGGGAGCCATAGAAAATGATGGAAATTCAAGGAGGAAGTGTTCAATGCAGAAGGCAGGCCAAGCAGAATGAGAACTGTCCCTTGGAGTTTGCAATTAAGAAAAGAGCTTAAGAAATTCCACCAGCTACCACACTCCAATGAAGTAGAATAGAGTGTGACAAGACCCTAGATGTTAGTATTTCAGGTCAACCTAGTATTTTGGGCTACTAGGTGAATTGCTGGAGAATATTCATGGATGTGGTCCAGTTAGAGGCTACGATGCAGATTTTGCCTGTCCTGGTAGAGCTGTTTCCCAGAGCCCAGCAGGAAGCTACTAATGCTAGAGTGTGCACATTTGTATGCACACACTAAATATTGATGGGAAGAATGAATGATCTGTAGCTACCAGATATCTGACTTGATGGACCCCTGACCCTCTTAATATATCTCTGGTTACAGGAAGGATTAGGAGGCCCTCAAGAGTTACCAAAAAGTTCCTTTGAGAGATTCAAAAGTCATTAAGTTTTAGGGCTGATCGGGTAGCGTATGCTTGTGTTGAGGGGAGGACAATGTTGGTGATGATGACAACAGGTGTACTCAGGATAGTATTATTATGTAACATACATAAACTCTTGACCCAGTCTTAGATGTGATTTTCTGAGTAGGGTTTCCATGTTACCCATTTCCTTATTTCGTGTGTGTGTGTGTGCGCGTGCGCGCGCGATTCCTTCTCTCTCCAGTTGGATAATAAATTTCTCAAGGGCAGGGACCACTCCAAATGCCTCTTATGCATCCCTTACAGCATGTTATTTGTCCACATCATCGGCGTCTCGTAATTTTGGTTATCCTCAGCTTCAGCAAACTTACAACCCAGGGTAGGTCAGACTTGCATTGTTTCCCTGGGGTGACATTAACTCTCAGTATAAAAATGTTCCTTAGGTGTTTCCGAAACCCTATCTTCGGAAGGTTAAACTGAGGGTCAGGCAGGGACTTCAGCAACGGCCTTGAGTGCCCAGTCCTCCTAACCCCCAGAACTGAAGGGCTGCCCCAGGAGTCTGGGAAGAGCCTGAGGTATCCTAAAGGTTAGGGCTCCCCCAGGGCTATGGTCTCCCTGACACGTTCCCTAGAGGAACTGATGCAGTTTAGATTCTGGAACTAGGTGTGTGTGGGGGGGACGGGCGGGGGGGGGGAAACTGCAGGGCACACAGGTGTTTTCACCATTTCCTTCTTCCTTTTTTCTTTTTTTTTCGGTACTGATGGGGAGGGGTGGTGCGGAATGGATCGGGTGCCCCAGTCATCCCTGGCCGTCGCTCGCAGCTGCTCGAGTCGCTGGCGGTCTCGTCTCCCGCGGGCTCCGAGGGCTCCACGGCCGCCCGCCCGCCTGCGGAAGGGGCCGAGTAGGAAGCGGAGGTGCGAGTCCCGCCGCGCGGGAGCCTGGCGCGCGGGGAAGATGCGGGCGCGCGGAGGGCGTCCGCCCCGTCCCTCCCCCGCCTGCGCCCCCCGCCCGCCCGGGGACCCCGCGCTCGGGAAAGCCCCGCGCCGGCCGCCGCCCGCGTCCCTCCGCCTCCCGAGGCCCGGGGCTGCCTCCTCGGGCCGCGCCGGGGCCGCCCCGCACTGCGCATGAGCGGGAGCCCGGCGAGCCCGTGAGAGGAGCCGCCGCCGCCGCCGCCGTCCATTCGCTGCGGAGCCGGAGGAGGAGGGGAGAGGCCTGGAGGACACCAACATGGTGAGGCACTGCGGCCGCCTGCCCCGCCGGCTGCGGCCCGGCGCCGCCGCGCACCCGCCCGCCCGCTCCCCGGCCCGCCGCGACCTCGCCGCCCCGAGCCCCGGCCCGCCCCGCTCCGCTCTGCGGTTCTCCGAGCTGCCGCGCCTTCCTCCTTCGCCCCTTCCCGCCCGGGCGCTGCCGCTACGCGAGCGCCGAGGAGGCGGAGCGGAGCCGGGCCTAGTCGGGAGCCCCGGGGACTTTGGGGCGCGGGCGCGGCCCCCGGACCCCTCCCGGCCCGGCGCGGTGGGGGAGGCGTTGGGGCGGGGGAGGGAACGGGAGGGGGGCAACGGCCCTGTCCGGCCCGGTCCCCTGGCCCGGCTCCATTGTGTCTGGCCGGGGCCGGGGTCCCGGTTCCGGGTGAGGGTTCTACTCCCCACTCCGCCCGGCCGGGAGAAGGAAAGACTTTGCGGGCGCTGCTCTGCCCGCTGCGCTCCCGGCGCCTGCACCCCAAGAGACGCCCGGGTAGCTGTGCTCGGAGCGGGGTCTCAGCCCTTTACCGTCCTCCATCACCTCCCATGCGTCCCTTGCTTTTGGGACAGGAGAGTTTTCTCGGGCCACTTGGCGGAGGTCGGATTTACCGCTGCTAAAAACAAGGGAGACCGCGGAGCTGGGGGGAGGGGTGCGGAAGTGCAACCTGTTCTCATTTCATCAAATTAGGGAAAACACACTGGCTGCTTTTGGAGCACCTATTTGATTTGCTTGGGGGGGGGCGGTGGGAGGAGTAATTGCTTTATTATAGTAGTTAAGGACCATTTGTGATTTTTAAAAGACACTTTGTCAAGTTGCTTCTCTTTCCGTTTTTGTTGGGGGAGAAAAAGGCATCCAAGCTTGAAGACCCTTGTAGTCAAGTTGTTTACTTTGGTGATTGCGTGCCTGACCCTGTTGGATACTCTTTGTTTTTCAGAAGCGATGTTTGGCATTATACAGGCTGAACTTGAGTGGAATTCCATGCAGGTTACTGTGTGAATAGTAAGAGTGATATTGTCCTTTTGCTCCTGGGGAGCACAAAGGCCTCTTTGAGGAGGGTGGGTGTGTGCCGGTGCTAGGGAATTGCCCAGTGTCTTTGGTTTTGTGGATTATTTTCGCTGTAGGACACTAACGTAGCCCCAGTCTCCAGCTTGGCATCATTTTGTGTCATGTAGAGTTATGTGGTCTGTTTTGCCTCAGATTCAAAGCTCTCTCTTCTATAATGAGTTCCATAAAACTTTACAATTCGTGTTTGTAAGTAAACTTTCTCAGAAAGTACACATTAATGTTGGAATTGATACTCCAGTGTAAATCCAAAGGTCCACCAAGTGTTTGGACAGGTCATAGACATCACCCCTAAAACTCGCAAGAGTTTCGCAGACTCTTGGCATTTAGATGAGTATAGCCAGCTTGAAGTACCAAAAAGCACTTCAGGTAGACGCTCAGGAGAGCACTGAAATGTGTGTAGTTGAGGATAGTTTGCAGATCAGCCACAGCCCCTAGAATCCTGAGACCTGAGGATGCCCATTGCCTGTTCAGGAATTGTGAATTGATGTTCAGATGAGTGTTCAGCTTGTGTTGGAGCTTAACTTAGGTCCTTTTGGTTCACATCAAATTAGCTAGTTTTGGAACTTACCCTAAGTCATGTAATCATACTCAGTGGTGACAAGATACCAAGTAACACAGTGTTACTCCATTTCCCTTGGTATGCCCTTGTTAGTTTACAAACTCAGTGTGGGCCCTTAGAGTTAAGGTATTTCATTATAAACTTGTTTGTTTCTCAATGCAGTTTTTGGGCTCCTGTTAGTTTTTTTTTCAGAGTGTGCAGCATAGCCAGTTTCTACAGCATGGTGTTGTCAGTTCTAGGGCACACTTAAATGATGGGTTATCTGAAATATTTTCTGTAAGGAAAAAAGCTTATTTAGTTACCTTTCTTACACTCAATAGAGATAAAAAATAACCTCAAAGCAAGACAATATTTTTGAAAATCTTTCAAAAAGTATCTAAAAACTTACGAGTTTTTCTGTTGTTTGTAAGGTGACAGGATTGGATTTGCTGACTTCTAAAGCTCTACCCAGCTTAACAATTTTATGATTGTAATGATTTTTAGTAAATGTATGATAAGTGTGTAGCTTGTGTAACCTCCTAGATTTTTATAAATGCGGTGTCATAATTTTTAGTCCTGAAATGGCCTCAAAGATCATTTAATTTACTACTACCCTGTTTTACAGAGAAGAAATTGAGTATCGGGAGGTGTTGAGGTTCAAGTTTGTAAGATTGTTGCAGAACAACCTATTTTCTCCTGGTCCTACCCCCAGTATTTGTAGTACTGTGCATCTTTTAAATCACATCAAATCTAGAGACACAGTTGAAAATGAAATTTAATAGTATTGCTTAAACAGAGGACAACTTAAGTATTGTAGTGAGTATGCTAAGTAGCAAAATTCAAATTAATGGGTGTTAGTAATGTTAATTAGTATGCTTTTAATGGCTCTTTAAAAATGTATAGACTTTGAAATGTAAGATTGTATTTTCTACAAATACCAGAAATTACAAACACAATGTGTAAGTCTGTTCCAGATCCTCTCTTCAGAACTTGGTGCACATCGTTTTGTATATCCACAAGTAAACTAAAGGAGGGCCTTAATTTATTTAGACAATTATTTATTAAACATCTGCTACATGAGAGGCACTCGTTTAGGCACTGAGGATGTATGTATGTATGTATCACCGAACAGACAGAAACCTTGTTCTGATGAGGATTAGTCTCAATAGGAAAAGACAGATACTAAACAGTTTTTTTCCTTACTAGGTTAGAAGGTGTTCTGTGATATGATGGAAAATCAGTGTTGTTCAGGAAGGGGAGCAGGAGTGCTGGGGCATGATAGAAATGAGGCTGCAGAATGTTGTCTATACTACTGATGATTTTGAGCATACTAGGAGATAAGGAATAATAAGCCATGCAGAAATATGCTGGAGAGTTTGAAGAAGTGTGAGGCCAGTGTGACTGGAGCTGTGTGTGAGTGTACAGAGGGGGTCATTAGAACAATGAAGTGTGAGTGGTAGGGGCGGGGATAGGCGTGGGGGAGCATTGTAAAGATACTGGTTTTCACTTCCAAGGGAGAAGAGAAGCCAGTGAAGGATTCTGAGTGTCACATAGTATCCTATTATAATATTACAGATAAGTATTTTTTAGGACAGTTTTTAAAAGACAGGACCTTTATTAAAGTTTTGTTTCTATATAGCTAATATTTAAGATGACTTTCTAATATTCAGTAAAAACTAGTTGGCCATCAAGTTTACCTAGTCATACTAGGGTTAATAAAAACAACACAACAAAACCTCTTTCATAGATTGCTGAATATATTCTGGTAATTTGTATAGTTTAATGACTCTGCAGAAAGCTGGGCCTTTAGGGAGAAAAGAAATGGACATTTATTGAGAACATACTGTATGCTTGTCACTTCACAACTATTTAATCTCCATTCCCACGTGTAAAAAAGGCCTTATTACTATCTCCTTTTAGCATATCCAGGAATGTAGATTTAACATTTCTAAATAATTTGACCAATGAAAAGAGCTAGTCTGTGGCAGAGCAGGGATTAGAAGAATGGTCTCTGGTTCCGTATGTGATTCCCCTAGCAGCTCCCATTTTTACTCTTTTCAAAACCCAGCAAGCACCATATCAGCACAGCTGTGGAATTGCTGATTAGTTTCACTCTGGTTTCTTATATTGAATACAACCTAGTTGTTTCCGTATCAAGTCAAATCACCTGATGTAAACATTAAGTACATAAGTGAAAATTAAAATGCTTCGGGCCAGGCGTGGTGATACACACCTGCAATCCCAGCTACTAGGGAGGTGGAGGCTGCTCTGGAGATAAAGCATGAAATTTTATCTGAAAAATAAATAAAACAGAGCTGAGAGTATGGCTCAAATGGTAGGAGGCCCTGAGTTCAAAACACCGGTACTGCCCTCCCAACCCCCCAAAAAAGAAAATTAAAACCCTTGGTACGTGTAGCAGAAAAGTTGGAAGTCAATTAACTGAGTGTGTTGGTGTTTTTTGTTTTTAAGCGGTAAAAGAGCAGAGCTCATATGAGTCAAATGGTTATTTTGATTTTGGTCTTTTCCGTTGGGCCAAACATAAAGAAACTCTGGGAGAAAGTCCCCTTTTTTCTTTCCTCTCCTCTCCTCTTTTCTTCTCAGTTTTTTTTTTCTTGCCTAGGGCCTTGTGCATGTTAGACAGGCTCTCTACCACTGAGCTACATCCCCAGTCTTAGAAAGCTCCCTTTTAAATTTCAGTATGTGGAGAGCCAGTGGCGAGGCATGCCTTTAGTAATTCTAGCACTTGGGAGGCTAAGCAGGAGGATCACAAGTGAGTTCAAGGCCCACCTGAGCTACATAGCAAGACCCTGTCTCAAAACAAACCGAAACATAAATTGTCACCAAAAACATAAATTTTACCGTGTGGTGTTCAAGTTGCAGTGTATTAGCCATGACACTTGATGAAGAGAAATAGCTCCAGATAGGATGGGTTCAGTTGCTTTGTGAAGAGAAACAAGCTCTTAGCCAGCTGACTAGGTAGTTTACCTCACTACGTTAGGTGTATGTTCTTCCCCCAGCCAAGAAAAAGCAATGTGCAGGGTGAAAACATCTTAAGTAGTCGTTCCTCATTTTTTTGAATTTGTTTTCTGGAATACTTAATCACCGAGGATGATGAGGCTGCTTGTCTGCATTGTAAAAATTTAAAAGATTTACTTGTGAATGGTTCTCATGAAATTACACTTTGAACCCCTCAACATTGACCACAGAAATAGGTTGCTGAAGTGTGCAGCGCTTTGATGTGTAGGGTATTTTAATTTTAGTAAACATGTAGAGTCCTAATACTTATAGTCAGGACTCGAGCAAAGTACCAAATCTTAGAGTTAGATTTCGTTTTTCTTTCTTTTTTTTAGATTTCATTTTTCAAGGATCATTTATTCTCTTTATAAAATAAATTTCGCATGCCTGTTGAAAACCAGTCATTTAATAAGGTACTTATGAAACTGTAAAAATTTAATTTAATTCTTTGATTTTATTTCTTTTGGGAATTTCTTTAGGGGAAAAAAAAATGGTATGGATAGAGGAAAACAGATTTATTTTTTGAGATGGGGTCTGTGCCCAGGCTAGTCACATACTCGTGGGCTCAAGTGATCCTCCCACCTTGCCTTATAGGTGGCTGGGACTACTGGTGTGTACCAACATACCCAGCCTGAAAAGCAAATTTAAATGAGCTACTTTGCTTGTTAGAAGCTCAAGCATAAGTTTGGGAGAATCAGTTGAAATATTCCTATCTCACGTAAAAGTTTAAGTTATTTCTGTCTTGTTTTCATATAGGTAATCAAGAATTAGCAAAAACAACTTTATGCTAGTCAAAGCAATCTCTGTTCCAAAGTTAAGAAATTCCATTTACAATGGTGGCCATCTTTTGAACGATAATTCTGAGCGATGGTGAGGAGAAAATCATTTAAATTTCCCTGAATGGGCTGGTGGAGTGGCTCAACTGGTAGAGTCCCTGCCCTAGCAAGCAGGAGGCCCTGAATTCAAAACCCAGTCCCAC